TAAGGAAAACATTATTAAATTCCCCAACTAGGTCTGTGGATATTTTAAGGAGGCCTATATTCACAGGGGGAAAAAAGGAGGAAAATATCTTAATATTTTAGGATTGGAAACCCAAATAAGTCAATCAAACACTGTAAAAAATGAAAAGGTCAGATTTCTTTATCATGAAAGCCAAGGACAGGCTTGATAAAACTCAGTATGAAGCTAGAATTAATATACAAATGAAAGGGCTGGATTTTATGCACAAGAAAAACTCCCTTCCCCCAGTAAACTGGAAATAAAGATTTATCATTTGAAACAAATTCTAAATGCAAAACTACCAATTTCTCACATAAGTAAAACAAAGAAACAAAACATCAGCCATAAAAGACCTTTGCAAAAACAATACAATCAAAAAGGTCCAGCAGGAGACAAAGCCCACAAAATTAGGCATGGATAAAGCACGCAAGCAAGCCTTTAAATGGCAGTTTGTATGCAAAAGAACTTGAGCAACTAATCCCCATAATCTTGAGTCAATATTGACCTGTTTTACCCTAAACTTAACAACTCTGGCCTAAAAACTGCCTGTGCATTTCTCTTTAGTTCTCTCCTACGAATGAACCCCATTAAGCTAATACACTGGGCTAAGTGCCTCCAGAAAAAAAAAAAAAATTTTTTTTAACAGAAGCTGCTATTTTCTGGACTAGACCACATTAAATGCAAAATGAAAACATCGAATGTGTAGATTTCTCCTTACTAGAAGGCTGAGAAAGACTGAATGGAAAGGGGTGAATTCTTTTATGCATGTAATAGTTCAGAAAACTGATATGATGTCAACATGAATGTGTTTTACAATAAAATTGGGTGTCAGAGCCAAAATGGATTCACTGTCTCTGCAGGCCAGAGCACAGCCACTGTTGCCTAGAATTGAGTAAAGTTGTCAACTGAACTGATGTTTAGCTTCGGTAAGATGGCCTGAAAGAGAGGAGCTAGCACAAGAAAAACTCACTAAAGCAACTTTTTGCTTTAAGAAATGGCCTATATTTCTAATCCCATCCTAAGGAGGTCAGCTACTTCATCATTTGAAGGCAGAAGATAAATTGACACTTCATCAAACATAAAGATATAAATGAAAATCTTGAAAATTAGTGAGTTGAGATACAATATAAGAAAATACATGCTTTTTGCATTATGATTGTCTCATAAAAATCATCTCATATATCGGAACAGGTACTGTATTTTACTCAAATTTTTCATCCAGATTATTGTTAACAATGCAATAAGAACTTCATGAAAAGCAAAAAACTCTGCATTTAAACTCTTTCTACTGGTTCCTGTATAAAGTGTTCCACAATAAACCAATTCTGCAGTTTACTGCAACATGCTACCAAAACTAACATCCAGAACAGTTAAGAGATCAACTTCATCTCCCTTGATTCTTTAACTAGGACAATCAATTCTGTCTACAATAAAGTAAGCACTGCCCACTCATCAGCATTCCAAACAAAAGCCTTGTTCAGGTACAATATGCACTTCACACTCAAGACCAAAACAAGTCATTCAACTGTAGAGCCAGACTCCAGAGATTTCTCTCTTTTCCTGTCTTCCCTGTCACTGAACAAACTGAGGTAAGACAACACTCCAGGGATGAAAGAGCCAAGAGGAAGAAAAGTAGAGTGGTTATAAATGTCCTGTTGCAACAGTTATGTACATAAAAATCTAGCCATGCATTTCTCTAGTGCCTACCACACCACAAATCCAGGGCGAAAAACAGCACCTAGGGGGTGCTAGATTAGCACAGACAGAAGAATCATCTACTATACTTCTACTCCCACAAAACCAAATCTGATTACAAAAATACTGCCACAGAATATAAGTTTACAACAACAAGAATAATTTAACTAGCTGTACTCACCTAATTATTCAAATAGCTTAGGATCTAAGGCTTTGGATTAGGATTTATACAGAACTTTGTAACAAATTCAAGCTCTACTACTCAATGACTTAGTGACCTGGAACAATTTATTAAACCCTTTTGGATGTTAGTGCCTTCATATGAAAAACAGAAGTAATCAAACAAACCATAGTTGAAACATATAGAGGGCTAGCATAGTCCCTTCTACCTAGTGAGCCCTACTACGTAGGGTATATCATAACTTAAATATTTCTAAATCATATAGTTATATAAAATAGAATCACTGGGCTAGTTTGGTCAACTGGAATAAAAAGACTAAGACTTTTGGAGATAATAACTTAACAAAAACAACCTGAACAACTTGAAATCAAACAAACATAATTCTACAAAGGAGATATACTCTGGGTTCAAATCCTTACCTCTAACTTTCTTTACAATGTCCTTTTCATGTAATACTTCTACTTCTTTGTCCTTTACCCACACATACATATAACCTCCCAAAAGGCCATAAAGCATATTTTAACTAATATTTTTAAGTAAAGAATTTCTTGATATAGAAAGATACAAAATGCTAGTGTTACAAAATTATAACAACATCAAGAGTTAGGAAAGAAAAAATGACAAACTCTTTAAAAGAAAGGGAGAAAAAGTAACTGAGGTTTAGTTATCACTAAGGAATGGAATGTGTATTAGGAGTCACTAATAAAACTCTAGAAGCAATTGTAAGTAATAATATAAACAGTCAAGCTAAAAAGCAAACATATGGAGGATACCATTATTTGTATTTGACCAGAAGAACTATATTAAATTAATAAATTTTAAGTGGCATCCAAAGCAAAATGAACACATTTCTGATGTAAAAACAAAAAAGAAAAGAACAAAGAAAGACTCCATCTTAGAAAGATTATTTTTATTCCAAAGCTGTTTCCATCTACAGAAAAATCTTCTCTAACAACCAACAATAAAAAAAAAAAAAAAAGAAAAATCTTCTGGAAGACAGTTTAAACATCAACATAATACTAGGCAAGACACAGTTATTTATCTTTAATATTTTCTTTACTAAATAAGATAGAAAGTCAAAAGATAGGCCTCTAAACACAAACAGCATAAAAACAACCCCTTTGCTGATACCAGTACTTACAGAGGCATCTGAATGGCCCACGGCCAAAGTGTTCCCCAGAGCACAGAAATGAGCACCACAAGATCGACCAATAAAAGACTACTGTATGTCTCTTAAAACTTTTGTTTACACTAAGAATTTCTCCAGCAAAATATTTGAAAATGGATTGAAAACATAGTAGGCATCAAGAGATCATTAGCTTGATTCCATAAATAGAAAGATCACTGAAGACAGTCTTGGAATGTCTAAGAATCATATGCTAATTTTATCCCTTTCTTTTATTCTTTTTTTCATCTTTCATTTCTTATTATCCACACAATGTATACATTTGGATGTTATATAATTATCCAAAACAAAACATATGCAAAATATCTTTCCTAACTCTTCTATCAAAGTCAGCAAAACTGACATTCTCTCTGGTTTCTAAGCTCTTAACCTCCCCATAAATCTCTGGCTTTTGTCTCTCCTTGGGCCTAAATTAAATCTTGGTAACTTTTACTGTGAAGAAATTACATCAGTTCATCCAGCACAACTGGCGTTTACAGCCTAACTATTTGGTAACCAGTGCTTACCTCTATCCTCTATCCTTCCATTTATCCTTCAATTTCTAGAATCTTGTTTTCCAAGAATTATTTTTCATTTCATCCTTTGGCAAAAGCAGATGAAGAATAATATCAATAAAATTTGTAGCTGTTAAGCACCTAGTACAACTCAAGAACACCTAGCATATTTTCTCATTAACACATAGAATGTTGCTGAAGTTGTGAAGGATGAAGACTGGAAATATTTATATCCTAAGTTTATTTCTTTATCCTTCTTCTTTTATTTGACTCTAATTGAATTGTCATAAAAAGGACATCAATTTACTCAATCTAAGGAGACCCTCATTGTTATACAAAATTACATATAAGAGGATGTGAAGGGAAAGGGAAAAAAAATCAAGGGAGAGAAATGAATTACAGTAGATGGGATAGAGAGAGAAGATGGGAGGGGAGTGGAGGGGAGGGGAATAATAGAGGATAGGAAAGATAGCAGAATACAACAGTCACTAGTATGGCAATATGTAAAAATGTGGATGTGTAACCGATGTGATTCTGCAATCTGTTTACGGGGTAAAAATGGGAGTTCATAACCCACTTGAATCAAATGTATGAAATATAATATGTCAAGAGCTTTGTAATGTTTTGAACAACCAATAAAAAAAATTTACTCAATCTACAGACTTTGAAAAGTGACAGATAATCTGAATCTGAGTACTATCCTCTTAATTCACCATGTTGCCTCTAGATTCCTCAAACGCACAACAATGCTAAGTTTCAACAAATCTACACCTTGAAATTACTGTTAATAGTAGTAACACATCTATTGAGCATCTTCTGTTAAAGGAACTTGGCAATATGTTTTCACACATGATTCCATTGAATCTTCACAGCTACTCTAAAGAAGAAAGAGAGAGTGTGTGTGTGTGTGTGTGTGTATACACATATACATACATACAGATATATGTATATAAATTATCTCTATTTTAGAAATTTAAAAAGTGAGACTCAGAGAGGTTATTAAGCTACTACCTCATAGTAACCTAGCAGGGAAGTAGCCTAACTAGGGCCCAAATTCAGGTTCATATGACTCCAAAACTCATTCTGAGCAATCACTCTCTCATGAGTGTTAATAAGCTCTACTGTTAAAATCCCTGTCTTAAATTCTATTACTTCCATGGAACCTATATTATCTACCACCCACACCCCCAATCCCGCAAAATTTTCTTTTCATCCTATATAAAATTCTACTTTGTTCTTTTCATTATATAAACTCTTCCTAGATGAGTATCATATCATACAGTCTAGTCTAGACTAGACTAACCACTATTTTTGGCCTTTGTTCTCTCCAAATGTAATCGTGTACAAAGAGCTAGTGTTATCTATGTGTATTTTTGTCACTTGACATTAGGAGAAACCAATTTAATCTCCCAAAGAACAAAGAAGAGCAAGTTGCAACATTTGCAATCAACTGACCTTATATTCATATAGATAGAACTCAGTTATATTCTAATAATGTGATTTGGCAGGTCATTTTATATATTCCTGCAAAGTACATCCTCCTATAATTTCCCATTTACAACCTAAATTTCTTGTCTACCAAAACATGTCTAGAATTACTGCTGATATCAAGGAGTAACTATGAGTGGGAAGCAGTGCATAGTTTAGTGTGGCTATTGCTCACATGGCTTGTAAAGGTTTAGTTAAAAATGTAAGGACAAGAACCCATTGTCCAAGATGGTCTTAGAAAAGAAAGGACTAGGGTTGTAGCTCAGTAGTAGAGTGCTCAACCTAGCACATGTGAGGCACTGGGTTCGATCCTCAGCACCACATAGAAATAAATAAATAAAATAAAGGTATTGTGTCCATCTACAACTTTAAAAAAAACTAAAAATAATTTTTAAAAAAATGAAAAGAAAGAGGAGGAGAAAAAAAGAAAAGGATGGCAGTCTGTTTTTCTCACAGTACCAGGTACGTGGAATTGGCTCTGCTATTAGAATGTTTACATCTACCATTTCAACAGGGCAGTGCTGAGCTAGAATACAACCTCTGGTTATCATCTTTGGGAGAAACTTAACAAAACAAAGACAATGAAGATTCTTGAAATCTTAAACTATTTGGTAAAATAATTTGCCCAACAGTTCAAAATAGCTCTTTATTAGCCTTAGTCCATACCATTTAGATCCCTTTGAAAGTGTATTTTCATTTTAACATTTTTAACATAGGGTCACACAGTCCAACATGCATAAAAGTGCAACTACTCTTTCCTATTCCTGACCCCAAACACCTTCTTTTCCAGAGGCAAACAGGTACCACTTTAATTGTATATCCTCCTGGAGAAATTTTATTTCCTTTCTGTGTGTGTGTGTGGACGCATGTGTGTGTTTCTGTCATCTTTCTTGTTTCAGATATATAAACATGTATTTTCACATATGTAAACATGTTATTTTCACATATGTAATACATACAACAACACAAAATTCTGTATCGTCACTCTCTGACTTAACATACCTTAGAAACTGGATCTTTATAAGTGCCTTCAGAGCTTCCTCCTTCTCTTTCACAGGCTGTACAGTATTACACAGAAGAGGACTGATAGCATTTATTTAACTAGCCCCCTACAAATGATTGTTTAGATTGTTTCCAAGCTTATATTCTTCCAACCAATGTTACAAGCATCTCTGAACACGTCTAACACTTCTCACATGCAAATCTGTATGAAGGCTTAATTTCAAAAATTGCAATCAACAAATTACATATTTGAAATTTTGATAGATATTGTGAAACTTTCCTCAAAGAAAGGTTTTCTAATTTGCATTCCTAGAGCAATTTACTAATAGTCTCTACACTATTTCATCATATTGTTAAATCTTTGCCAATTTGATAGACTAATAAAAATTATAGCAGTAAGGTTCTTACTTTTTGTTTTGACTCTTGAAAGAAAGTACAGCATAATAGTTAAGAGAGTGGGTGGGCCCTGGCCAGGCACAGTGGCACACACCTATAATCTCAGTGGCTCTAGAGGCAGAGGGAGGAGTCCAAAACCAGCCTCAGCAATTTAGCGAAGCACTAAGCAACTCAGTGAGATCCTGTCTCTAAATAAAATACAAAATAGGGCTGGGGATGTGGCTCCAGAGTTCAATCCCCAGTACCAAAAAAAAAAAAAAAAAAAAATGTGGGCTCTGGGGCCATCTCTATCTCTGCCATTCACCTGGGGCTATGCATTCCCAGGGAGAGAGATCACTAACATTTCAGTCTCCATTTGCTCAGTCAAATGGGGATAACAATGCTCCAATTTCAAACATTCTTTCTTTCTTTCTTTTTTTTTTTTTTTTTTAAGTGCTGGGGATTGAACCCAGGGCCTTGTGCATGCAAGGGAAGCACTCTACCAACTGAGCCAAATCCCCAGCCCTCAAACATAATGTGCAAATTAAATGAGTTAATACAAATGAAGTGTCTAGAATTATGCCTTACACATAGCAAACATTCAACAAAAGGTAGCTGTAATTTTTTATCTTAAATAAGGCTACTTTTTCTCTATGAGTTACTTGTATTGCCTCTTCGGCTATCTTTCCATATCTTTTGTCCATGTTTTTTTTAATATTTATTTATTTTTTAGTTTTCGGTGGACACAACATCTTTATTTTATTTGTATGTGGTGCTAAGGATGGAACCCAGTGCCTTCCTTGCGCATGTCAGGCGAGCGCGCTACCACTTGAGCCACATCCCAAGCCCTTTTGTCCATGTTTTATTGGCTTAGAATCCAGATTATATAGAACTATTATAAATCATTAAGAAAAACAACAAACCTAATAGACAAAACATGTAAATATTTCACAATAAAAGTAAGAACAATTGATCCATCATAAGTCTTAGGCACTATCACACCAACATAACATCTTAAATGTGTTGAAAAGTTACCTTTTAACAGGTTTTGCTTCCCCTGT